CTATATTGATAATAAATATAATTAATAAAAACTTCTCTGGGATTACAATTAAAGAATGTTTTAGATTTTAGAAATGGTTAATTCCCATGAATACATAAAGGCCAGCATAAAGAATTAATATTATACAAAATGTATGAGTTGATAACATAGGTCAGATAATTTCCCCTTTGTATTTTAAGTAGTATGTCCAGATTTGTAGTATTTTTGGTAATTCCTGGTTATTTATGAATGTATAGTACATCTGGAAAGTTATTACTTTTTCCAAAATGATTAATTTTTTCTACATTTAAAGGGTCATGAAACACCAAAACACTTTTTTATTTGAGATGTTGACAGTCATATATGTGTCCCACGCTGCTAAAAACACAATTAGTGATTTTTTTTTTCTTTTCTTTATTTATTCATCCGGTTTGAAAAGGAATTTAGAAGCTATGTCACAGCGATTAGATCCTTGTGTGTATTCCAGTCTGAATGTCTATCTGTACTTGTGTTTTTCGAGCTTTCATCATTATTTCAAGAGATAGACTTGGTTCGAACGAATCAGTGTGCTCTATTGTTAATGAGGTATAACTTCATTATTATGCATGATAGCTTTGAAGACTGTTTTTACCTGTTACAATGTTCATCATCAGGAAGACGCTACGTTGTGTTGCCAACTGTAATTAAAACAAGTGGAAGAAGAATTGTTTAGAGACATTGTTGTCATCAGTGTTGCGTTAATGGAAGGAAGGTAAATAAAGGAAGGTTTGGTTTTTAATATCCGGCTATGAGAGTGCAGCTGTACTTAGTGTAGATTACAGTAGTCTGTTAATGCGTGACAAAAATATGTTCATAAGGAACATTTTTTTACCCGAGAGCTTTTAGTGAAAATGGTAAAATGTTTTTTTAAAAGTCTCCTTTTAAAAAAGACGTGGTTGCAGTTGGTGTTGATTGTCCTGTCTCTACAGATGTGGTAAGTGAGTGATCAGTGTTCTTTGTTTGTGATTATTCAGAGGCAAAGTTTTTTAGTAATGTCAGCAGTACCCTTTCAGGTTTTAAAGACTTATCTTAGTCAAAATAATTTGTTTACAGTTTAAAGTATGTTAATATCACTACAATATTATGGGCTGAAAGATCCGCTGTAAATACTGCTCTCTGAATGTAAACATTAACACTTTAATCAATCTATTACCGTCATGTAGGATTTTTGCCGTATTTTGTGACAGGATAGTCTATACACACACACGGGTTTCTGACACAAGATGCAAGTGCATCAACATAGTAACTCTCCTTCTACACTGCGTCTGTGTGCTGTTTTGCCTCTGAATATCAGTGCATGCTCTAACTAAAACTCCCCTTTCCTTGCAAATTCCTCTCTCTTTCGTCACTCAACACTCTCACCTAAACAAAACTGGACTTTTCACTTTCCTGACTTTTTTAAATTTGAGGTGTGAAAACACCTTGCTGAGACACAGGGGATTTCATTGCCCCTTAAAAAAAAAAAAAAAAAAAAAAAAGTTAAATAAGTTTGTTTGAAATATTTATAAATTTATAAAAGAAAAAAAAAATCACATGTCCATAAGTAGTCAAAGACTTTGTACTGACACTGAAAATTGGGCTGAAATGATACTGTTTCCTTGTCTTCCTTGAAATGTTTCTACAACTTGACTAGCGTGCACTTGTGGTAAATTCAGTTGACTGGGCATGACACAACCCTGTCTATATAAGGTCCCACAGTTAATAGTGCATGTTGGAGCACAAACCAAACCATGAAGTTTAGTGAATTAACTGTAGACCTCGGACACATACCAAGCCATGAAGTTCGAATGTATTTTCTTTAGACCTCAGAGACAGGATTAAATAGATATGAGATATGGTGAAGGGTAAATATATACAGAAAAATATATGCATTGTTGAAAGTCCCAAAAAAACACAGTGGCCTCTATAATCTGAAATAAAAAGCAGTTTGAAACAATCAGTACTTTTTCTAGGGTCAGCCGCCCAGAACAAGGAGAGAAGAACTTTCCAGAAGTGCAACCATCTCTGCAGTGCTCCGCCAAACAAGCCTGTATGGTAGAGTGGCCAAACAGTCTGCTTAATGTTTTCCAAAAGTCACCTTAAAGACTTAATGACAACAAGAAATTAAAACTATCTGGTCTCATGAACAGTGTTGGGAGTAACACATTAGAAAAGTAATGCATTATAGTAACTAATTATACTGTAATGCAGTTACATTTTGAGTAATATTTACTCTTTACATCTTGAGTAACATGTGCATTATAACACATTTTTTTGTCTAAATGTAATTGTTCAAAGAAAAATACACGACAAGACCGCAACCTATTGAAGGCAGAGTATATTGTTTCTGCTGCTAAAGGGCGCATGTTAAAAGCAAAGGCATAGTTTAATGATATTATACAATGTACAATGACAATGACACATGGTGATTGGGTATAGAATTATAAGAGTTGTAGTCATGCAAGCATTTTTTTTTTTCATTGGATTTACTTTGTCTATAAGTTCTGCTTTTTTAGATAGTAAAAATAACTTAAATTGTAATACAAAGTAATGTAACGAATTACTCTTCTGAGACAGTAATATTGTAAGGTAAGAAATTACATTTAAATAACAGTTAAGAGTAATCTGTTATGTATTACACTTTGGAACTTTGGAAGTAAAAAAAATAATAAATAAATAAATACGTAACAGATAGTTAGAACTCTTTGTTTGGGGTAAACCAGGCATCTCTCATCACCTGGTCAACACTATCCCTACAGTAAAGCATAGTAGAATTGCATCTGCTGTAGCTTTGTTTTTATTATTACTTATTTTATTTTATTTTTTACACTAATACTAGTCAAGGTCATTGGAAATTGAGTGCAACAGTGCATAGAGAAATAGACTGGACTGCTCATCTTTCAACAGAACAACAACCGTAAGCACACAACAAAAGAGTGGCTACAAGACAACTCTGTGTATGTCATTGAGTGGCCCAGCCAGAGCCCAGAAAACAACCCAATTGAGAATCTTTTGAGAGATGTGAAAATGCTTATGCAACAATGCTCCACATCCAACCGGATGGAGCTTGAGAGGTACTTCCATGAAAATTGTGAAAGAAGTTACGTATATGCAAAGATGACAATCAATGACACTGTGATTGGGTATAGAATTATGGGAGTTGCAGTCATGCAAGTTATATATATATATATATATATATATATATATATATATATATATATATATATATATATATATATATATATATATATATATATATATATATATATATATATACACACACACACACACACACACACACACACACACACACACACACACACACACACACACACACACACACACATACATATATATATATACATATATCCACATATATATATATATCATCTACATACACACATCTCCACACATATATATACACATATATATACATATATATATATATATATATATATATATATATATATATATATATATATATATATATATATATATATATATATATATATATATATATATATCATATCACTTATATTAGTGGTTTTGCCACATTTGCATTGTATATAATCTGGTTTAAATGCAAATGCAATTTTATTTAAAGAAAAATAAATAGTGTTGACTTGTGATACATGTTTTGGATCTTTTCATGTAAACATTGAGAATCCATAGTATAAATAGTGTAATTGAATGAATGAATGAATGAATGAATGAATAAATAAATGAATGAATGAATACACTTCTCTCTCTCTCTCTCTCTCTCTCTTTCCCTCCCTCTCTCACACACATTTGTATTTATTTATATATTTATGTATTCATTGTATATACATGTTTTACAATTTTATTTACATTTTAAATTGGT